TTTTATTCGGAAATAATAAAATAGTTTTATGAAGTAAAGAACTTGTGTCGCTTAAGTTTCGTCGGAACGAAGTTACGGAAAATTAATTAACACACGGAGACGTAACAATACCTTTCAAATCAATAATCACAATTAACTTTGTATCACAAAGACTTAACATTCAGATGTTACTTAACAGTTGTGTTATTGGTGTAATTGATCCTTTCATGTTATGAAACACTTGTAAATTATTTTTTATGTAATGTTCATTTGTTTGTCTATTTATTTCGTTGTGTTTTTTTACACAAAGATACTTGAGGACCATCTATGCTAACCAACCTTAATTTAGAAGTAATACACTAAAAGGAAGGTAGCTAGTCAATACTACCAATGAAAAGCAGAAATTAACATCAAATTATAATGCTCCCACAGCTGTAAGGGCAAGCATTTTGGTGATAGGATTCAATTCCATGACCAACAGATTTTGAGTCCATGCCAGCCCTGTAATGTTCATATGGATATGTAAAACTACACACATACACTTATTAATACACAAAGTTTGGTATATACATATATATATCACCAATATACATTTGTACATGCATCAATAGCTTATAACAGACTGTATTTGGCTCATGATGACTTCAACAAATTACTTTTCAATAACTGTGGCTTGTAATGTGCTGCTGTCTATGAGCTGTCCATTCTCTCACTGTTTTATCATATCACCAGTCACCTTTTGGCCATACGGTGGCCTTTCTTAGCTGTTGGTGCACAGACTTGTGCTCATCAACTAAAACAAACCTGTTCAGCAAACAACATGTTGATCACTTCTCAGTTATTCATCCCAGTCAGTTTTATCAGAATTACCAAAGTTGGCAAACATACCATACACCTTGCTTCACTTTGGGGTGCAATAGATAGCCATAAAAATATACTAATAGCCTCGTATTTATCAAGAAGTGGACCAGAGATATCACAGGCAATTTTCTGCTGGAGTTTACTTTATTTTGGTTGATATTTTCTCTGAATAAAACACATTGTACAGTGTTGACACCAGTGCTGAACATCTCAACTTGAATACAGCCAGAAGAACCACCAATGATTATTAGCACAAGTGTGAATAATACCTTGGAAACCTCCAACTCTGTGTTATGCAAAGTCTGGAAAGTATCATGCCTTAAAGCTCTAGGGACAACTAGCTGCAGTGCAGATTGAGAAACACAACTTAGTATTTGATTGTGATGACATAACAGACCTTCCTGCACTATTAATTACTGATACAAGTGCCTCAGGCTATTTGCATCCATGCAATGCTTCTCAATCTTAGTTAGCTGCTGATCTTCACCTTTCTGCATGACAAGAAATGTCCATGCTAGATCTGGATCCTTCAGTTGTTCTTCTCAAAACTCCCAAAGTGTAATTGTGAAATTCATCCACTAATCGAATAACCTAATGTATGGCTTAAGTCATCATCGTAACATAAATAATTTTAACTTCCACATGGTGCCCAGTGTCGGAACATTCACTGAAT